GCTGCGGGGCTGTGTGGGGCTGGGGCAGGGTGGGAAGGAGGGGGCAGCAGGGTGGCAGGAGGAAGGAGGACGAGCCGTCGAGGTACAGGGAGGTCACCCGGAACCATCTCTCTGCCCTACAATAAACTGCTGATAAAAGCTTTTAAAAGTAGATCACGGGGCGTTCATCCTGCAGCCACCGTTCTCCAGCCTAGCAGGACCGCTCGGGCAGAGGTGGGCATCCAGAACCAGGATGGTGAGCGGTCCTTGCTCCCTGCCCTCCCATACTCATCCACTGGCCAAGCTGGGGCGTCACTGGTAGGAAACCTGCCTTATGTGGGGCTGGCGTCGGAGCAACGCGGTGCGAATCGCCCGGAGCATGGAAGCACCGAGGCATCTGCAGAGATGCAAGGACCTCCACCCCGGGGCAAGCCAGACCCTCTTTGGGAAAGGCCCTGAGCATCAAGAAGGTGGAGCAGGGATGAGCTGGAGCCTCCCGGGAGAGCTTCAACTCCGTGTATCCCAGCCACAGCTTTCTATCTTCACACTTGGGCTGACGCCGCTGTCGCTGAAGCCAGGCTGTGAACAGGATTGGGGTTAAAAATAGTGCCGTGCAAGGGAGAAGGGGATTATTTTGAATCTAGAGCAGTTTATCGGGCAGGCTCGCAGCGTGGCTGCTGCGGGACGTGCAGGCGTGCCGAGTGAGCTAGGGATTTTCTCCATGGGGGCCAGGACCTGCTTTACAAGGCGTTTGTGGGGGCTGTCACTGCCCCTCTTGGGTGTGATGCTCTCACTGGCAGGGCCAGCATGGGGGTTGCTTCCTGACACCCCCCCGTGGGTTGATATCGCTGGTGCCCATCACCTCGGACCAGGCAAGCTGATGTCTGGCTGGAGGCGGATGGTCCATCAGCCCCCCGTGCTGTGAAGCACGTCTTTGGACAGCTTCAGAGCCCATCCGGAAGGGTTCGGGGGCTCTGAACCAGTGGAGGACGCAGAGCAGGGGTGACTGCCGAGGACCAAGCCTAATTCTGCCCACTCACACCCACGGAGCAGATAAAGGATGCTGCTCTGACCACCTCTACGGGGACCCCAGACTCTATCTGTGACCCCACCGAGGCACAACCCCTTCAGCGGGTGAGGGCTGTAGTGCTGCCGGTGGCCATGCCCTGGGGGACACGGCGATGCTCTTTTCCCTTGATTTTTTGATCTGGGTTAAGAGATAATTTGGGGATGGGGGGTGGGGGGGTGGGGGTGAAAGCTTCTTTATTCTGGGGCTGTCCTGGGCAAAGGATGCCAGACGCCTTCCCACAGTTTAGGTGACACCATAAGTGTGTGACAGCCTGGGCTGCGTGGGCTCGAGCTTGTCATCATCACGTGTGGGCTCTGCAGAAGGGTTAATGCCTTAGGAGGGGCTGAGCCACCCTGCCGGGATGCTTTAACCCTTCCCAGGAGAAACCCTTTCCAGCCCCCCCGTGGACATGGAGGGGGTGGGAGGATGCAGAGCTCCATCCCTGACCCCTTCTTGTGCCTTTGGGCACTGGGTGCTAATTAGTGCCCTCCTGAAAAGGAGCAAGTCTCAGAGTAATCCAGCGTCGGTAGGTAGCTCATCACGGCGAGATTCCCTGTAGATGTGTTAGGCGGGGAAATCTATTACTCTCTAATTAAATGGAGGCAGAAATGATTGTTCTTTTTCTATTCCTTATATGTTTCTAAGCGTGAAACTCAATTATAAGTGTATCCGCAGAAGGGGATTTGTCTACAAGAGGGAGTCTCTGCCTGGCACGGGGTTTTAAAAGCTGGAGCAAACACCTGGGCTGCTGCGGCAGAGCCTCAGATTCCCAGGATTTGGGGGATTTGGGTGGGCATACCCCTGCCCGCCGCCTCTTCGCATGCCGACCTGCTTTGTCTGTCTCCCCCACGCTCCCTGCCGCAGGAGAAAGATGCAGAGGCTGGACTTAAAATAGAAAGCCGTCCTCTGGAGGATGGAGAAACGAGTGTTTGCTTGGGGGGGGATCTGCTGGGATGCGGAGGCTGCATTTGGGGAGGGTGAGGGGCATTAGTGGGGCCTGAGGGGCCACCCGTGGGTGCTGGTGAGGGGGGTGACCGTCCCCACACAACGGCGGGATGCCGCCTCTCAAGCAGGGACACTAGGAGGGCACGCGGCTTCGTAGCTCCAGATAAGAAAAGCAATCAAAGGCAGCCTTAAATCTTCGCCGTGTAATTGTGGGCTTAAATCATCAGCGGGACGAGAGGGGAGTGCTCCCAGCCGGGCTGGGGAGGGGGCGTAAATCCACCGGGCACCTTCTTAGCACCCTCGGTCTCGGGGCTGGGAGCGCTGGGGGACCGGGCTGACACTAACCCCTGCCCAGGCAGCCCCGTCCTGCCCCCCGGCCCGGCTCTGCAGGGCGGCACGGTGCCGGGAATGTAGTCATTTATGTACACACAGGGTGCCTGCAGGAGATTAAGCGTTGGGTGCACGTGTGCATGGAGAAAGAGCGTGTCTATACGTGGGTAGTGTGGGTATTTAGCGTGTATTTGTACACAGATTGAGCATACATATTGTGTGTGTGTAGATACACAGAGCTCATATAAATGGTATGTATATATTGTATGTATTCTCACCGCATATGTGTGTATATAGTGTATGAGCGTTCGTACGTGTGTAGAGAGTGTGTGTGTAAGTGCCGGGGGAAAATATTGTTTGTATTTTTCTATACAGGGAGTTTCTAGGCAGTGTGTCCACAGAGTATATAATATATTTGGTTTATTATATTGTCATACATATGCTGTATTTGCGTGTATTTATACTGCGTGTATAGACTGAGGACATATGAAACGCGTGTGCAGTGTGTGTGCATAGAGCAGTTGTTTGTGCATAGACATAGTGTGTATATACATCAATAAAATGAGCGCATACAGCATAGGTGTGTATACACAGTGTGGGCCTATCTGTACAGAATATATGTGTGAATTATATATAGTATGCATATACATAACTACAGA